TCTCTGAACAGTCAGCTATCTGTACCATTGTCGAAACCAACGCAAGACAACCATTCTGCAGCTGGGATCGAACCCGGAACACCGGAATTACAAAGCGCGTTTACAACACCTAAGCCACAGGCGCTGAAATAATCAACCAGGGATAAACAAGAAAAACAAAGCGATCCTTTGTATTATGCTCCTTTATTAATTGTAGAGATCGACAACCGATGTGTGTTTTGGACAATATCACAGTGGTCGTTTGACGCCACAACAGCATTTCCCGTATACATAAATCTGAGTCCAATTAGAAGCCCGAGTCAATAGAAACAAATGACGCCTTGATGAATATTCCAGCGCATGAACATCAAGTTGGCAGGTTGGCTTGGCAGCTTGTGTAATATCTCGAATGTCGGTGTTCAGTGTGGCATACACACATACACCTACACATACACCTACACATAAACACTACATAATACACACACATACACCTAAAAAATACACATATATATATACGCAAACATACACACACATACAGACACACACAACTATACAAACACACACCACACACACACACACACACTCACATATACAATTACATACACACACACAATATACAAAGATCCGTTTCCACTCCCATAGAGGTATTGTGTATACAGAGCTAGGCCTATATTGCTACTGCTACTTTGAGTGGAAAAGGCAGTTACTGTGACTAAAAGCTTTCTCAGTTAACAGTTTATGTCATACCCCTCTCCCCAACCCCACCCCTAATTAACCGACTACTCTTTCCCTCAGCGAAGTAGTTGGGAGAAATAAAAACCCAGTGAAAAGCAACGAAAACAGGAGAAATACACCATAATTAAGAAATGAATGCTATGGTAAACAACACAGCCCAATTCCAACGCAATGTCAGACGAAATAATTAAAACAAAAAAAAAAAAAAAAAAAAAAAAATGGAAATCTATAAAAATTCAACGTAACCATGCAATTGGAACGTGTGAAATGAAATCATAAGTATGCGAAATGGTGAAATGCAATTATCAACTGGTTTACCCACATACCTGTACTTATTTTTTTTTTTTTTTAAAGTATTTAGGGCCGCATGGCTAGTGCTGTCGCTACGACAGTGCGAGTTAGTGTTTAAAAAAATCAAATTTGCCGTGCCAGGAATTCGAACCATGGTCTCCTGCACGGAAGCCCTGTGTTCTAACCATTCGGCCAACCAACCACTCCTTCTGACAACGAAAAGAGAAAAAAAGTATTTAAGATGTATCCCGACTACTGTGTCCCTATTCTAACACAACCCAAAACCGCAGGCAATTGTTTTCTCATAGACAGATTTCCTATTTATAAATTTCAAGTATTACTAAAACGACACAACAATAGAAATCGCAAGTGTTAATGTCGCAATCATTGTCAGCGCAGACATAGAGCTCCCCCCCCCCCTTTTCTCTCTCTCTCTCTCTCTCTTTCTCTCTCTCCCTCTCTCGCTCTCTCTCGCTCTCTCTCTCTCTCTCTCTCTCTCTCTCTCTCTCTCTCTCTCTCTCTCTCTCTAATCCACCGACTACTCTCTAACTAATCGAAGGTTGTTTGAAAAGAAAGAAAATAGAAATCGTGTCTAATATGGTTAATGTTGCAATCATTGCCTGCGCAGATAAAGAGATATTCTGGTTTGCTGTACCCAGGTCCTTCTGTATGTAGGTCCTTCTGACTAAATCACGGTACATTTTGGCGGAGTCCCCTCGAAAATTTGTTGCAGGAAGCGTTTCCATGATGCACTGTGTGACATTTTAACGTGCTTACAAAGTTCTGTGTTCTGAATGTATTCGTATTACAAATCGACAAGCGGATATTCTGAAGTGAATATACAAGATTTTCAAACTTTGCTGTTGTATAACAGCAATTTGAATTTAATTTCACGGCAGACAGTCGGGTTGTCATGTGTGTGTCACTGTTTCTAGTCAGTAGTTTGGATTTTTGGGAACTGGCTGTTTATTCTTTATCTACTTTTAATGCAGAAATCTTACTTTTGGGGAAAATACAAACAGGTAATTTGAAGCCATATCTGGAGAATATCGACAGTTGTCAGGTGCAAACTATCTTGTGTTGGAAGAAAAATGAGAAGGCCATGGCTGTACCTCACCAGCGAATGGGTGTTTCCCGACTACTGCGCATGCGCATTTACGAACATGTCTTTAATTAAATGTCACTAAAATAAAAACATTTTCATAACAAATGTCGCCACCTATTTCAAACCATGACAGGTAGAATCCCGGTATCAAAACAAACAGTAGTTTCCGAGTCTGAAGGTAATAAACAAACACACACACACACACACACACACACACACACACATATATATATGTGTGTGTGTGTGTGTGTGTGTGTTTGTGAGTTTATGTTTGATTGTGTGTATGTGTGTACAGTAATGTTTGTTATCATCATCATTACTGATTTCGAGCATTTCACTCCATACTCGTCACTCTTGTGCTCTTTTCTTTTTGCACGTGTATCTGCATTAGAAACTCCGAAGCAAGGATATTTTTCTCTGACAAACTGACGCTACGAAGGATGCCAGGAAAGATTTCTAGAAGTACGGAAGACAGGCGTAATAATTGCCATATCTTACACTGAGAGTGGTGGAGAGGTCTGAAACATTTTGGGATAGAAACAAACACATTCTGCACGTCTTTGCGTGGAAGAGGCTGCATTAATTTTTTTTTTTTTTCCACGTGTGCATTGCACGCAGACAATGAGAAATTAGGCAGCTAAATTTATAACGCAGTAAATGACAGCGATAAAGTAGGCGAGAGAACTCTTCAAGTCGCTGCAGTATTTTGGTACAAGCTTTCTCTCTCTCTCTCTCTCTCTCTCTCTCTCTCTCTCTCTCTCTCTCTCTCTCTCTCTCTCTCTCTCTAGGAAGCTGTGTGGTATCGAGTCATTTCTGTCCGTCTCGAGTGCTAGAGGTTCAGGGTTCAATCCCCTGTAAGAGCTGCAATTTTTTCACGTGCACTTGGACTTCTAGTAATTCCCCCGGGTCTCTGGGTGGTGAGATCGGACGCATTGTTGCCAACGTAAAAAAAAATCCCATGGCAGTAGGAAATCGAAAAGAGTAGCCTAACGGCGCTGCCAGGGCAAAATTTGGAGTTAAAAATCTACCTAAAGTATTTCAGGATCCTCGCTGGTGCTACAGAGCCTGTGCACTGTGCTGAGCTTCTTCGGACTTGAGTTAGAAGAGAAACGGAGCACTTATGGGTTACTATGATGTGTGCCATGATGTTGATCCGTTGTTGAAACCTCAAACCTCTCTCTCTCTCTCTCTCTCTCTCTCTCTCTCTCTCTCTCTCTCTCTCTCTCTCTCTCTCTCATTCCCCCCCCCCCCCCCCCACCCACACACACAGAAAGAAAGACACATCCATGTTAATCTTTTCATAAGGTTGGAGGAAACAAACAGTACCGATGTACACGAAATTTTGCTGACACCTGCTTTCTCCTGTAAACAGTCTCTTCCTTCTCTGCTGAATACAGCTGGAAAACAACGGAAAAAGAAATAATACACAACAAACACAATTTCTTTTGCTTGCAAGCCACAAAGTTGACATTTCCGGGTACGTTTTCAGAAACCTGCTGTAATATTGAACTTACTCAAAATTGTAGAATTTTAACACACTTGTATTTTTATTATTGCACTTATGGAAAGCGATAAGATTTATACAAGAAAAAATTTGTCTCAAAACTGATTCTGTCGTTAAGATGTCTTCTTCTTTTTCTTCCCGATCATCGGCTGTAAACTTTGGCGGAAAGTTCTGGTTGTTAGTCCACTTATGGACTTTGGTTTTCTTCAAGAAATTGAGTTTTGCGTGCACGACCGTTTTTTTTAATGTGGCTTATTTATGTGCAGACTGTTGGTTACTCGCCTTTTAAGCAAAATAATTGAGTCTTTGAAGGAAAAACCTTTATTAGTAGCATTTTACGGCATGCTTATTAGGGGCGTCGGCGTCTGTGGCTAAGGTGTTGCGAACGTACTTCGTAATGCCGGGGTGACGGGTTCGATCCCAGCTGCAGACGATTTATTTTGCGTTGGTTTCGACAGTGGTACCGTAAGCTGACTGTTCGGTTAGCAATGGCAAACTACTAAACGTTAAATTTGCCTAGAGAAACCACAATAGCTAAAAATGTTAGGGTTGGTTTTGCAACGTCTTGTAAAGGATACACAACTCACTTGTTTTTTGTTAATGACAAGCGGTCAATTGTGGTCCCCCCCCCCCCCCCCCCCCGCCAACCTTCTCTCCCCCCCCCCCCTCTTCGGAACCTACACCGTTACGATTTGGGGTGTGAACTGATTGAATTTCTTGTATTCTTGACCACAACATATCAACTGGGGTAGCTTGTTACCCCTTTCCATCCCAAAGAATTTCTTAAAATATCTCAAAATTATCTCAGAATGTTTTTATTTTTTATTTTTACAAGATTGGGTCCAATTCATAGCCACACCCGCCGCTGTAAGGTACTGAATTTGGACCACTGTCTTAACAGTCCTAGTCTTTGTCTTAGTAAAGATTTCAACTTCACTGCAGGTGGGTTTCCCCAAATGTGCTCTATTCTTCTTGTGCTAGTGCAATTTCAAATGAAATGTCCCTTGGTGTTACAGCTGAAAAACTTGTTTAAAAAAAACCCTAGTTCCGGAATAATCTAGAAATATGCGCAAGCAGGAAATGCTTATTTCAGATGCTGGAAATGCCAAAGCCAACAATCGCCACCAGAAATGAAGTTTGTCATTGATGGAAGCAGTCGTGCACTATAAGTTTGTTACTATACACCAGTAGAATTATTACATATTGTCTTAACAGTCAAGCACACGTGTGTTTTTCGCTGGCACAGGAGCGGAGCAACTATGGAGTGACTCGTTTGCCATGAAGCTGAAACTAGGATTACCAGATTACCAAGCACACTAACATTTATTCCTTTGATCTTACAGACATTGTAGACTAATTATGACAATCATTTGTGAGTCATTATGGTCAGATTCCATTCAGAGAAACTTGACAGTCGTTAATGCCAAAACATACAACCTCCGTCTTGAAAGGCGGTAAGGAATGTAGAAGCAGTTCCTCAGATGGTGATGGCTGAGTTATGATGCAAGTTCTAGAAGGAACACGTAATACTGAATCTGCTGATACAACACGTCTCATATAAGACGGCGAGCGGTTGGACTGCCCTGCACGGGAAGTACTAGCTGCAGCCAATGACACCGACGATCTCTGAACTGGAGGGTCACACATGCAGTGAAAGCAAAACCTTAAACAAGACATTTCCTGATCCGACTTGTGTTGCCTTCGAGGGAAGATTGGACTATCTCCGTCGTGTACTGGGCTTGCTGAAGATGGTTGGCGCTGGATGCCCAGCAGGAATTTGAAGACGGAAATGATCTTCCATCTGAGTTCTCTTCTAACGAGCAAGTAGACCCAGGGGTCGAGGATTGGGTTGAACGACGCTAAGCGAATCATCAGCAAGTACCATTTGTTGACGTTGATGTGTTTGATCAGGTCTGTTTGGCATACGATGGTAAATATCTGATGGGGAAAAAAAAGAGAGAATGGTTGTATTAACGTGAGTCACAATTCATTCGGTAGGGACCCTTCAATGAATGAAAACACATTATCTGGTTTAAAGAGATAAATACTATCACACAACAGTAAATATTTGATAAGTTAAATAAAAATATTTTTATCAAGAAGATAATATAATGGTATAGCTAGCTGCGTATATTTTGTTTTAATTAAGAAGATAACATAATGTTATAGCTAGCTGCGTAAACTTTAAAGTAAAGTTGCACTGCTGCCTTCGATGGCTCCACAACCAGCTGTATACACATAAAGTAATTATAACTGACTCACAGAGCATGTTGAGGAAGGTGGATACAGGTATGCAGAGTGCAGAGCGACACATATTTCTTCAGCGGTTTCGGGTAGTTAGTTTCCTTCGGTTATTTTCTCCAGGGAATGTCGGTGTGTTGAGAAATACACAAGCAGATAAAATGGCTGGTTCTGCACCACTTGATGGTGAACTGATGTATGACAAGTTAGATTTTTTGACAAGCTAGAGGATCAAATTCTATCTATTCTAGATGGTGTGTTGTATTCAGCATCTCTTGCCATCCTCTCAACTGTACACTCACCCCCTATTTACGTCATCACTTGTGTTACTTGCATAGTCAGAACTGGAACTCTGCGCTTGCTTTTGAAAAAAGGGACAGAGCGCGTAAAGGAATGTCCCGTTTGCCGAGATGTTGATTATTAATTCAGTATTCAACATTCTACAGAACTTTGCAGACTCCCTCTCCCCCTCCCCCCCCCCCGCTTTTCCATCCAACCCTTATCCCTCCCGCATTTGTTTTCTGTTTAGGTTTTACTAGGCAATTTACCTTTCAGAAGTTTGCCATTGCTTTTTAAACCGCCAGCTACCGATACCCTGCCGAAATTAACGCAAAGCAGTCTGCTGCCAAAATGACCGCAGCTGGAATGAACCTAGATACCCAGAAATCACGAAGTGCATTCGGAACGCTTGAACCTTAGAAGCTGACATGTATATAATCTTAAAAGATTATTAATATCTGATAAATTAAAAACATAAATAATGTATTATCGAAACATATAATGTGCATACGACCGTGACTATCCGATGGACGAAAAGTGTATGTAATAGCGTGATTTATACAGTTACTTGATGATATATGTCTAATTAATAGGGATAAATAAATGTATGAATTAGTGTTGTATAAAATTTTTTTTTCTTCTTCTCCGTTTTCTTCTCTCTACTCCTGGAATGCCTTTCTGCATCAGGACAGGAAAAGATTTCTGGAACAGGCCCTTCTGTTCGCTTTGTATAAAGTACTTTTCAGTGTCTCTGATATTTCAGCGGTCCATATTCTGCGTGGTCGATCTGTTACCATTGCATCTGTATAACATTGTTTTCTGTGGTGCCCTGTCTGATGAAAGTCTTGTTATATGGCCAAACCATTTGATTTGATGTTTACCTATGACGTTCAGTATTGGTTCTATGCCGCCTCTGCTCCTAATACCATCATTCCTAAGTCGATCTTTTCTCATTATACCTAGTACAGTACGTGAACATTTCTTTTCTGTCGTGACTATTTTCCCTCTGTCTTTCTGTGTATAATTTCATACGATGAAAAAAAAAATGATGAATGAAAACATAATATCTATATTCGAGAGGTATATAATTTCATACGATGCAAAATATGTGATGAATGAAAACACAACATCTATATTCGAGAAATATATAATTTCATACGATGGTGAATATATGGCGATATATATATATTTCAGAGAGATGTTTCATACGATGGGGAATATATGGCGATATATATATATTTGAGAGAGATGTTTCACACGATGGGGAATATACGACAAATGAAAAGAACACTATTTTTTTTTTTCAGAGAGATATCAGGTAGCATACGACGATAAAATATGATGAAAGTAATCACGATGACTTTATTACTGAGATTTATAATGTTACACAAACATGAAATATCCTATAACTGGATAAAAATGTCGGTATTTGCAAGACATAATTTATATGATTATTATTATTTGATGAATGAAAACTAAATATTTGTATTGGCGAGATACATGACAGACAATGGTAAATAGCTCGTGCGTTAAAATAAAATATCTATATGAGTGAAGTAGATAATTTTAAAAAAAAATAATAATAAATGAAGAACTTTATATAAAGAAAAAAATATTATGTTAGGACAATACTAACCTACAGTTAGATCAATGACGGTTATATTAAGATAAGAACAAATGAAAATGACTTTGGCTCCGAGGTCGATCCGGCCTAGAATAGATAACAAGTAAGATTTTGGGAAGTAAAGGAATGTTAACTCTTCGCTTGCTGAAAATGAAGAAGGAGCGCTTGTGGGTGTCCCGAGTGCTGTGGTGTTGATTCTAAATTCAACATTCTGGGAAGTAAAGGCGGCTGGAGTGATACTGACCACATCACCCACCAAGTACCGATTGCTCTATAGAATATAGTTCTAGCCCTATATGACCAATACGCATGAAGGCGTGAAAAGAGTCTTTTATTTTATGTCATATAGATAACAATTATATATTGCATACATAGAATTTTCTGGATTGACAATGAACAAAATGAAGTAGGTGAAAGTAAAATAAAAATTTCAATAAAATGATTTCAATAAAAGCGGGGGAAAAAAATGGTTTGCCATTTTTACCCTAGAGTGCTTCATTTAGAATTGTCTGTAGTTCTACCGGGTGTTGTTTTCATCTACATGTCTGGGAGGAAGCACAGATTTAGACTTTCAAATAATGATATATTTTAACAATTTGTTCACTACGAGCATGCTGGCTGTTTCCTGTTTGCCAGATGCTCCTATTTGTTTTAACACTCTATTTTCCAGATGGTCCTCTTATTCTCGGGTCTAGATTTCAAGTCGAACTAGAAAGACTTTCACAATTGCTACTGCCTGAAGGTTGTAAATTATTTGGGATTTAGGTGTATTATTAAGTCACAAGATAGTGGGAAAGGATAATCAGCTGATATTTCCACTAGATTCGTTCTCACAACTCAGGAGTGTTAATTATTCTAAGAGTGGATAGAACCAACTATCCTTTGATAATTAGTAGAAGTTGTTCTTACTGTCGTCGTCGAATAAAAAAAAAAGGTTGTTTACTGTTGTCGAAGTATTATCTGTAGTTGCTGCTACTGTTATTTTTTCTGCCTTCCTGTTCGAATAATAATACTCCTTAATTCTACAATTGGTAGTTTAAATAGGAGTATTATTTGTAAGAGCTAAAATTATTAGTTTCTGGATGGGATCATCCAACCCTAAGCCCCAGTATACAGTTGGTCGACTCTTACGATATGCGTAATAGGGCCATGTTAATCTCTGGAAATTGAAAAGACATTGAAGATCCTACCGAAAATTGATAACTTAGTAAAGGCAACATATTTAGATGAAAAGCCGAGTTCTTCGTGAAGGAAAGCTTACAGAAACATTTGGAATAAAAACAAGTGTACGACAGGGAGGTTGTTTTGTCCCTTCTCATATTTTTACTGACAATAGACTGGACTGTGAAGGCAGCAACAGCTATCATAAGGAATGAGATTCAATGGACCCGCTACAGAAAAGCTTGCTGATCTGGACTTCGCTGATGATACTTTATCTTCTTTTTCACTTACGGAATCAGATGCAAGATAAGTTAAACATACTTGATGCAAGATTACAATTAGGTCTTAAAATCCACAAGAGAAAGACAAATAGAATGGAAATAGATCAGGCAAATAGTAATCTGATTTCTTTTCGTGATATACCGCTCTAATATGTGGAGTGGTGCACCTATTTTGACTCTAATGAAGATTAAGATGGGTAACCGATAGAGTATTAAAATACAAATATAAGAGATAAGAGGAATTTTCATAGCGCAAGGACATTAGTGTAAGTGAAGAGACTTTAAACTACACGTAACATTTTTATTTCTAGTGTCAAATTAGTATTGTTGTATGGAGCGGAAAACATAGAATAAATAACACATTCACTTAAAAAACTACAAACATTCATGAATCGTTGCTTGCACAGAATAGTGGGAATTAAATGTTATGGTAGAATGACTAATATCAAGCTTAGGGGGGAGACCTAAACAAATTCAAGTGAATCAAGAGGTGAGAAAAGACGCTGGTGTTGGATAGAACACCCCAATCAAAACAAACATGTCTTTGCTCTGCAGTTTACATTTGGCAAACGCTCAAAATACACATGGCTTTGGGCCGAAGTTTAGTTTACAGCCGGTCCACCGTTACCCGTTAGCAATCAGTTCTTACATTTTGCAGATCCCTAAAGTGTAGCTAAAACTGCAGGTGAGAAATGTGATATGTTGATTTAGTGTCTAGCAAGGATTTAGAATGAGAGAAACATTCTAGAATGTATTGAAATCATCCATACACTTTAAACGATAAAATACTCAACAAGGCCGAACGAAATGCCGCTTGGTTGGTGAAGTAAAATGTTTGATACACTGTATGAAACCACTGTTTTGTAAATATTTATACATGTGTGGTAGCTGACAAAGAAGCGCCTTTCATTTCTTGTAATGTAGCCTGTCTTATGATACAGACGTTCTAGAGGTCAGTTTGTGACATTCTGCAATGCTTGGAAACGAAACTTGCATTTGGTCAAGTTACAATATGCTAAAGAAAATGTGAACAAGAGAAACTCACACTTAAAGTTAAGTCAAACCATAGGGTTTTTTTTTTTTTTGTGTGGAAAAGGGGGGTGGGGGTGGGGGTAGATAATAACATTTAGCGTTATTCGAAATCATCTGCAATAAATGTGGATCGGTTACTCGGAGTTCCTAGTGAATAGCCATGTGTCAACAGTCTTAAAAATTGCAGCCA